TGCCTCAGCCATGTCATTCCGCAGCTCAAAAGCCTTGGAAATCTCCCGGGCTTCCAAGGAGCGCCCATTTCACCCACCGTGAGCATCTGGTGATTGCCCGTCCGCCCGCCTTCCTCCGCAGAGCTGAGTAGAGCCCTTCCGCAAGCATTAGCGATGTCGGCCCTACATTTCCTCTGTCCGTTCCACATATCCCCTCTCACGGCACTTAGGGCCTGTTTCTTCCTCAAAACCCTTCTTTCCCTTGCTGAACTGCAGGTGCTGTCTTCTGCAAGGCCGTGAGCAGTCACAGGCTCAGATGCACCGACAGACAACGCACATGTGGGTAACTAGGCACAACGCAGACCCGATGTGCTCATCGGTCGGTGAGCCGCGGTTTCACTCGCAGGGAAGTGTTCTAGGGGATCAAAAGCACAAAGTCCGGGGCGCCTGGTGGCTCCGTTAAGTGTCCCACTCTTGATTTCAGCTCAGGTCGTGATCTCACGGTTTGTGAGCCCCACATTGGGCTCTGTGCTGACAGCACAGAGCTGGATTTTCTCTCTCTCTCCCTCCCTCTGCCTCCTTGCCCCACCCCAGTTGGTTCTCACTCTCTCTCTCAAAATACATAAACTTAAAAAAAAAAGCACAAAGTCCATGCATCTGAAGGAATTTTGAGTAGTTCACATGTTTTCTTACGGCACGGACACCATTCCTGGGCTGTGGACACCATTCCTGGTCTCCTTTTCCCTCAGTTCTTGCTCTCGGCTTGGAGCTGCTCCTGGGCTGTGTCCACCAACCCTGCCCAGACGGAGGCCTCTCTGGGCCTTCTTCTCTGCCTGCAGTTCCCCATCTCAAAGCCCCAGAGGCTGTCTGACAAGGAGGAGCTCTCTTTGGAAGGAGGGAAGAGAAGGATGCGGGAAGCCAGCCAAAACCCTGTCCAGAGGCAACACGGAGGCAGCATGGAAATGCATCCCGTCCCCACAGTGTGTGTGCTTCGTGCAAACATGCAAAACTGGAGTTAAGTTTATGGAGATTGTGCCTTCCACACGTCCAGCTTCCATAGGGCTAATAACAGATCAGGGTTTCCACTGCAGGTTAATCGATTTGGGAGACCATAATCTACCCACACTAGGTAAAACTCTGCGGAAGCGTGAGTCCCCTGGTAGCGGGCTTTAGTGTAGTGTGTTTTCAAGTCTGAAAGGACTCTATTTATGTTATGATTTGAAAATAACAAAGTTTGCATATTCCAGATTCACAATTAGTTAAGCCATAAAAGCCGTGTTTCTAAGGTGTACTGGGTTTGTGGACTGTTTCTTTGGCTTCATTACCTGCAACCTTCAGTACATGAGAGGATATGTATGATCCTGAATCTTACAAGGTCCTGTGCTAGCTCTGGGGGTCAGTGTTCACGCTCCAACCTGCCACTCAGGGCTCCGTCTGGGACACCCCTGGGCAGGCAGAGGTGGGGCTGTTTCCATGAGCGAGGAGCTCACCTGCCGACCACCTCTGCCCGCTCCACTTTCCCTGTGAAACCTTTAGAGAGGATGAAGGAAGCAGGCATCTTTCTTCCCATCTTCCAAAGAACACTTTTCTGTATAAAAGATGCCCTACATCTTTTTGCAAGGTCCACAAGCCAAGCGGTGCCTCTTCAAGTACCTGGCGGTCGTGACGCAAATCTCCCACGGCCTCTGCTGTGTCTCGTCCCCGTTTCCCAGGACTAAAGAAGTTAATCTGTAAAATCTCAGCAGACCTGTGTTGAGGTGGGGCGGCCACCAGGAGGGAAAAGGAGCTGGCCATCTGACCGCAACGCCAATGGGCCAGGCTGAGGCTCTGCCTTAAATCAGGAGCAAAGAAGTGCTCACAACCCTCGTGCCTCAAGGCAGGCAGATTGGGGGCCAGGAAGAGAGGAAATGTCGTGATGCTGGGGTTCGTGGGTGAGGACCACAGCCTTGGCGAGAGGGACTGCTGCCGCCCGGAGCTGACTGTGTGCCCGTACCCAGCATTTCCTCTTCCGGGAGCTTTTGTTGTGGGAGCACTCGCCACACGTCCAAGCACTCGCCAAACCGCGAAACGTCCATCGGCGGGCGTGGATGGGACAAACCAATACACCGCGTGCCACGGAACAGCGTGCGGTTGTTAAAAACAAGGCCCGACTGTAGGTTCACAGGCAAGATCCACACAATGTGTCCTAACCAAAGAAGAAAGTTGCAGAAGCTTCTACACAAGAGTATGAGCTTATTTCCACGACGACCAAGAAGAAAGGGAGAGCGGGAGACAGAGGTTTGCATAAACAGAGGACAGTACTGGGAACCATATCAATGACTCATAATATTTACCTCCAGAAGCGGGAGGGGCAGATGGGAGACGGAATTCAGAGATTTTTCACGTTGTAGGTGACATTTGCCCATAATATTTGAACTTCCATAACTCCTCCGTTTAATTTCTGTAGCCTGAAAAAAGGCCACTTGAAAACTGCCTTTGAAGGTTAGAAAGGAGCGCGCACACGTTGCCATCGGTGGAGAGGCGGGGTCTTCCTCAGGGCGGCCCCCAAGCACACTCAGCCCCGCCCTCTCCCCGGGTGTCCTTCCCCTCAGCGACTGGACCCTTCCATCCGCCAATAGCTCACAACAGACGGATACCCGGAGGCCTGGGGCTCGGCCGGGCACCGGGCACCGGGCACCGAGCCGCCTCTCCTTCCCGCCCTCTTGCTCTGCTCGCAGGAAACTCGCCCAAGCTGGTCCGTCTCACCTGCTGCTAGTCTGGCCTCCTGCAGGTCTGAGTTCTAGCGGTGTGTGGCAGTCCTCCTGAAGGGAGGTGTCTGGGTGAGCAGGGAGTGTGCCAGAGCTAGGTTTTATTTGCCTGTGACATACGTGAGGCTTGGGGTCAGCGTGCAGACACGCGCACACGTGCGTGCACACGTGTGTCGGCCCTGCCCCCGGTCAGCAGGTTCTCGGGTTCCTGTGTGTGTGCAGGGCCCTCACCCCCAGGGCTGCCGGGGCCACTGTAAGTCATGATGACCGTGGACCAGGATGCTCTAAGGAGGATGTCCTGGAAGGCGGCCTAAGTGCCTTGGGGAAGGGTGGCTGTTTCCAGCGGCCGCGAAGGTGCCAATGCCTTCTCCTTTCCCTCCTCTATCAGAGCTCCGCTTTAGGTGTGGATTTCCCCTGAAGGTGATGGTGCTCAGCTAAAAAGTGCAACCTCTCATCAGTGTGAGACCCGAGGACCACAGGACTTGCAGAGTGAGTCTACCAGCCTACAGATAGGAAATGGGGTTTTATTGAAGTTTCCACATGTGACTTGTGGGTGTTCCATACACATTGACAACGTTTAAGATGACACATGTTGATTCTTAGACCACCAGCTCCTGCTGTTAGTAAATATTCAATTTCCCGTCCCCTTTCCCGTTCCCAGGCAAGACAGACCGCTCGACGCCTCACTGGGCCTTGGCCATGCCGGCTGAGGAGAAGGTCCCCGGATGGCCAGTGCATGTCTAACGCAGGAGCACAGCCTGCGGCCCCACATAAGCCTGGGTCTGGCTCTCCGCTGGTCACGTGGACCCGGTTACAGTAAATCATCTGAGGTGGGGGCCCTGGCTCCAGGTGGCCTCTGAACACAGCCGCTCTGCGTCCCTGTCTGTCCAGGCCTTTTACACACACCAACTTGAGCTGCGGGACCCAAGACTAGCGGCTTCCACTCTGGCCTGCCCCCGTCTGCCCCACCCCACTCCCTGGCACCGGCCATTGAGGCCGTTGGCCCTGTGGCCTCGGTCTGTGGTGCCTCAGGAAGAAGACTTAGTGGCCTCATTTTGGGGGGGCAGCGGTATCATAAAAAGGGTTGAGGAACTGAGTGCAGCAGCCGGACGGGGTTTGGGCAGAACGCCCGTCTATTGGGTGTGCAGGGTTAGGGCCGGGACAGTGTGGCCTCAGTCTGCTCGCTGACTTCCTGCTCCCTCTGTGGTTGCTCAGCCACCCAGACCTCTCTCCAAGTCTGTAGACATCAAGGGAACTGGAAGCTAGGACTGCTGCTTGTCAATTCTGGACAGAAGCGCTCGACACATTTTTATATTTTGTTAGACTAATTCTCCATTTAAACAGAAATGACTGTAAGATGATTTTCATTAAGAGGAGAATAAGTTTCTGCTCCCACTAAAGAAAATGTCTAGTGTCTCTGTCGCCCCGATGACCAGATCCCACAAGCCCAGCCTTCTCACTGCTCTTGGGGGAAGAGGCCTGAAGTGGCCTCAGGAAGAGTCTGTTTCAGTGGTTGAGGGCCCCTCACAGAACGCGGGTGCCCTTGAGGGGTGATGGGCCACCCCTCCTGCTATCATCTGACAGCTGTCTCTGCACTTTCCTTGGGCCAGGCCGGCTGTCCTGGCGGACAAGCAGGGAGAGGAGGCTCTGGGGCAGGAGGGGAAAAGCAGGGGCGCCCAGCAGGGGCAGGTTCCACCTGGACTGGCCGGAGTCTCACGGAAATCCTCAAAGGGCTTCTGTGCATGAGTCCTGCAGACAAGAGGGCTGCCCAAGTGGGGACTGGCCAGTGGTGGGGGTCATGCAGAGGGAGGGCCCAGCCCCCAGGTCAGGCCACTGCCTCCTGCCCAGAACTGGCATCGAGGTGAGAAACCCCCCTTGATTTCTTCCCATTACAGCTGGACCCGAGTTCTGGTCAGGGGCCGTCTCTGTCTCCCTGTTCTCTTTGAAAATGTGTCTATTTGGCCAGACGACATTACGAGCAAAATGATCTACCTGCTGGAGTCTAACCCTAACTGGATTTAAGACCCAGTTACAATGTAACCCAGTCCCGTGATGGGTGAGCAGAGGCCAGCCCCATCATGTTATGGAGGATTTCTCTACGGTGCTGGCTCCAGGGGAGGCCCGAGGGCTCTGGGGAGTCTGCAGCGTGGTGGCACGCTAGATGACCGAGGTCTCTGTCTGCAGGAAGGACGGGGCACAGGAGCCCCGGTGGAGCTGCAGGGCACTCTCCGAGCCGTTCCTCGAGACGGACGAGCCGTGGAACCTGTGGTCCCGGCCGCAGGGCCGGCTCGGACACCAGCCCCGCCACTTCCTCTTCAGCTCACTCTGCACCTGCGGTGGGGGCAAGGCAATGAGGAAGTGGGGGTCACACGGAAACGTAAACTCAGGTGCCCTCGAGAGAGGCCCCCCGGGCCGGGTCGGCCCCGACAGAAGGCGCCACCCCAACAACGAGCTCCAGGAGGACAGGTGACAAAACAGAAGGAACCGGGGATTTTCCTGACATCGGGTGGGGAGTCGGTACTCGGGAGCCCAGTGACAGAGGTGAAGGGTGTTTGAACTGATGGAAGGGAGAGGGATGTGGTGAGCAGGTACACAGAGCTGCAGGACAGGAAGGACGCGGGAAACGGCATTGAGCGGGCGGAGCAGGGCTCAGAGGGGCTCACGCGTGGACGTTCTGATGAGATGTGGGCTGCGAACTCAGGGAGCAGGATTCTCATCTGTGTGTCCCTCCCTCCCCACTTGGCCCCATGTCCAGGGTCAAGGAGCAAGATGGTGACCGTGCAGAGTGGCAGGGTCCCTCCCAAGCACCCAGCCGGAGAGCCTTCCCGAGCAGGGCCGGGGGAGGCCAGGGCGACCGGCACTGCTGGTGTCGAGAGAAGGAGGCGGCCGTGGCCATCTGGGGCACTGGGGCTGCCCGACAGCAGACCTGGACCCTCGTTCAGGTGGGGGAGGGGGGCACATGAGGAAATCCCGCACAAGCTGAATGTCACCTGCTGTGACAGGGCACGTACTTCACTGTTGAGAAAACAGTAGAGAACCGCCACCACCAGGCCCTGAAAATGAGAAAGGGTCGTCAGAGGCCACTCGCCAAGCTGGGGGGAGGGCACGGTCCCTTCCCAGGTGTACCTGAAACGATCCGATGCACAGTTCAAACAGTATCTGGTATTTGGAGGAGATGCCAATAGGAAACACGGCAAACACCATATAGTGCACTCCAAACAGGGGGATGAGCAGCAGAGTGGACTTGGTTAGCCTCCTGCACCGAAGAGAAGGGCGCCGAGCTCAGGCCTGTGCCGTCACGTGCACGCAGGCCCACGGCCAGGGCCTCCCCCGTCTGGGCCTCGTATCTCACGGATCTAAGCGACACCCCCGCCCCCGCCACGGTCAGGGTGTGCCAACGTGGAGAGGAAAACGAGCATGCGCGGGCAAGTTCTGAGACGATGTCCCGACGAGTTCGCCAACTGCGACGCCGGCCTGAGGGGCCTTAGTGCCCCGGGGTGGGGGCCCGTCACCAGCACCTGAAGGGCAGAGTTTTACTCTGGGATCAGAAGAGCAGACTCGGCAGGGGTGCAGCTGAGCGCAACGTGTGGCAGCAGGGCGGCGACCCACGCTCTGGGTCCCACGCGGTCTGTGTTGCACGTGCAAACCCTCTGTCCGTCACATTCCCGCCCTCCCCGGTCAGGTCAGAAAGCAGATCTTCCGCTCACCGCATCATGTGCTGGGCTCGCCTCTGCCCTCCCCACAGCTGCACCTGTTGTCTGTGTCCCCGTCGCCATCCCCTGAGCAAACACAGTCTCTGTCTCCAAGCCAGTGCTTCTGGAGCCTCAGCCGCACCAGAGCCACCTGGAGGGCCAGCTCCACCTTCGGGCTGCCAGCTCTGAGGTCTGGGGTGTCATCTGAGAATCTGCACTTCTATCAGATTCCCAGAGGTGCCACGGCTGCTGACTGGGAACCCTGCTTTGAGAACTACTGCTCTGAGCCGGGAACTCTCACCACTGCACGTGACCATCATGCAGGGATTCAAACAGCTCAGTCCAGCCTCCTCACTCCTACTAAATCAGGTCTCTGTGGGCAGCACTGGCCCTGGCAGTTCTGGCTGGTTCCAGTGTGTGGCCAAATTTGACCCTTGCGACTCCAACAAGGTCTGTGTCAGGAGCATTGGGGTCAAGTCGGGGCTGGTCAAGAATGAGGGTCTTGGCCCCAGGCCAGTCAGGCCACCTGGTGATGTGCGTGCAGGTCAAGACGCCCTAATGAACACGCCGCAGCCTCATGCTGAGGGAGATGAGGGGGGAGGCCCCCCCTCCCCCGACCTTCTCTAGTTCGTTGACCTTACCCAATGCTTAGAAAAAGTCATGAATTTCTTTACCTATTTTTGAGGCACATGCTTCAAAGCTAGCACCTAGAGCCTGGGATGTAAGTTCTGGAAGTTTCCATCTCTTCTGATTTCCCTCACAACAAAATACCACGTCCTGTGGCATTTACAAAAAGCAGGGTGTCTCTTATTTCATGCAATCTGCACAAACCCCAGAGGCCCGGGGTATGACCTAGGCCTCGTCACAGAGGACGGCCCATCAGCGAGCACTGCCCCTTCACAGCCCCAGACGTCTAACCTTACAAGGTTGCTGCCCTTGACACCTCGGTTCAGCATTAGCCTGTGGACAGAAGGCGGGGCTGTGTGGGGGCCTGTGTCCTTCAGTTCACTGTGAGACGGGGGCCTGTCTGAACGCCCTCCTGTACTATGCACCTCGGCAGCTTGCTATGATGCTTGTCTCTAGAGGGACTTCCAGCGAGGCTGGTCCTGTTCTGTTACTGCTACGTTATAACAATAGTTACAGAGAAGAGACATCAAGATACAACCAGAGGTCAGCGTCACAGACATGCTCTGCCTTTTTTGCTATCCTGGAAAAAGTACAGATTCTATCTCCCTACTTATGTTTGTTTCTAAAATACAAGCAAGTATCTCTAAGACCTACCCAATGAACACTCCCAAAGAACCCGCAGAAAAGGTCAGCATGGGAGCTAGACCAGACTGTCCCCAAATCAAAATTTCAGTTTCCAGGGCAACCGAGAACAGTCCCAGCCCTGAGCTGCAAGTGTGGGTGGGCTCCAGGACCTCCAGGTTTATCCTTCGTGGTTCGATGTGGGATCCCATCTCCAGGTCTGGCCTTTTATGCAGCCTCCTCTGACGGGCCGGGCAGAGAAAGCGGTTCCTTGGATTTCACGTGCCCCGGGGCACAAGCAGATGTATCTGTTTACCAGACTTCCCCACAATACTTACTAGTGCCGGGGACTAAATGTCTTTAAAATATTAACTCAGTTAATCTTCATACCTTAGTGACAATTACTATTATTTCCACTTTACAGATGAGGAAACTGAGGCAGAGAGCAGTGGAGTCACATCCCCAAGGCCTCTGGCTGGTCTGTAAACCCAGCACCGGGCCTCTGACCACGAGAGATGCTGCCTGTCTGGCTTCTAGGTCCACTCCTGTTGTCTAAAGGGTGGAGAGGAAGGAGACACTGCGTGGGGCCACCCCCGGCCACTAGTCAGATAACCTGCCCAGGGTCACACAGCTCTGGGTGGCTGAGATTCCAAACCTGGTCTACCTGATCCTGAGGCTTCCACGGGCTAGACCAACCACTTCACACCAGTGTCCACTTTATAACAGAGATGCGGGCTTTACTTTTTCTTTATAAATTCTTGATAGAAATTTATAGAATCTTTAAGTTCTTTTATAGTCTTCAGGTCCTCATTAATTAGCTGGATGACTGTGGGTGAGTTACTTAGCCTCTGCTCTCTTCCCCAAGATGATTACCATCTTCATGTAATTACTCAGCCAAGAAACGTGAGTTACTATGAGGCACAAGCCTGGCATTAGGTGCCAGCGTGAACCGCGTGGTCTGATGGGGAGGAAGAATTAAGCATAAAACACAAATAATGTGTGGCCAAGGAGAACAGGCAGATTACAAAACAGAAAAGTGGGCAAATGCTTCGGTAAGCAAGCTCACTAGAGGATCCATGATGAAGGCTCAGAGGAAGGAGCCAGAATCCGAGAATAATAACCATGGCACCATGGCAACCGCCCTTGCCCCCTTAGAGAAGACACTGCTGAATTAGCCACGAGCACAGTCCTGCCCCTGAAGGGGGAGAACCTGGGCCGTTTCTTGGTGCACAGACCCAGGACTCTAGTGTCTCTGCTCTCCATACATGCCTGTCCTCCCCACTCTCGGTTTCCAGGCAGCTCAGCCCTTGGACCCACACACATACTCACCTATACTGTGACTGGTCATTGCCGCCGACGTCTGGGGACGTCAACTTCTGGAGTAAAATCCGTATAATACTAACAAAAAGGACAAAATTGACCTGCACAAATAGAGACAACATGTTGTGTGTGAGGTGGGTGTGGCCAGGATGTGTCAGCCCCCCTGGGTCGTCTCCTCGCCTGGGACAGAGCTCCAGGCACCTGTCGCAGAAGCTCAGGAGCCCTGCCCAGCCTGGGTCTCCCCCAAAGTTGCAGCCTTGTCTCTTGACTGCCTCGTGTCTCACAAGTGAATTTGAGATGTGAGATGTCAAGGGATGTTAAAGGGAAAAGCAAGTGAGCCCTAACATTGTGACCTGGTGACTGTGACTCCCACAGGTCTCCTTCCCCACAGGGGAACGTGCAGCTCTCTCCGCTGCCCCCGCCCTCACTGAGATCTCATCCTGAAGGGGGACGAGTCGACCTCTGCGACTGCGGGAAGGGGCCGGGACGCTTGTGTGCGGTTCTCCAAGACCGAGTAGAACAGGGCTATTTATATTCAGTACAGGGAAAGGGGCTCCTTCTCTGCCCAAATGTGCAACCCAAGGGATAACTCATGTTTCGATACTGGAATTACTTACTATAATAGATATTAAAATTGGTGTTCGTATAACCCACCAGGGAACACTGTGGTCATTGGTATCCCAGCAACTATTGAAAAGAGAGAAGGAAAAGCATGTTACCTCTGATTCATCCACAAACCAAGCACACAAGGGTCCGTGCACTGCCTGTGGCCTCGCCCCTGACGCGTAGCTCGTGTTCACGCCAGCCAACATCAGAAAAGGGAAGTTTCTCTCCCGAAAATTAATTTCCTCTCACCTCCCAAATGTTTTGTATTTGTATCTTTCTTAAGTTTATTTATTTTTGAGAGAGAGAGAGAGAGAAATAATGATTGGAGGGGTGACAGAGAGAAGGAGACACAGTATCTGAAACGGGCTCCAGGCTCTGAGCTGTCGGTACAGAGCCCAACGTGGGGCTCGAGCTCCCCAACTGCGAGATCATGACCTGAGCCAAAGTCCGATGCTCAACTCAAGCCCCCCAGGCGCCCCTGTATTTGTATCTTGAATGAAGGGTCAAAATGCCTCTGGAACAACTGAGGCAGGCACAGCTAGGAGTGTCTGTCTAGCAGGGTGTCTCCATTCTCGGTCTTCAGTGTAAGGGTGGTCCCCAGTAGGAACTAGGATGGGGTGCTTGCAAGTGTCTCCATTAGTCCGTCTGTCACCCACACCCCCACCGTGGGGCTCTGCAGCCCCTCCCCGCAAGGGCAGAGACCAATCCATGCCTCTGAATCTTCGCTGGTTTTGGCAGTAGGATGTGGAGCCCTTGAACCTGCAGGACAGAAAGGAGCCTTCCGGCTGGTGCTGCCTCAGACTCGCCAGCTCTCGGCCAACCCGGCAGGTGCCCGTGGTGTGTGAGCAAGCCGGGTGGAGGCCAGAAGAATGCCATGTGCACAGAAACACTCCATGTAAACCGTGATTATGTAAGCCACTGAGTTTCAGGGTGGTTTGTTACCAGGAGTAGATAACTGGTAAACCCCGAGAGCCCTTTATGAGGCACAACATTCATGGGGGGAACCGGTGGCACCTGAGTGTGGGGCCATGCTCCAGCTCACTGTGTATGTGAAACAGAGGAGCTCTGGGCCCTGCTCAGGCTGCATTTTAGAGAACAACTATCTCAGAGAGCTGCACTCCCGCCGGCCATTTCAACCTGGTCTTCAACTGGTCACCTCTCCGTACTTGGCTCCGGGCAAACAGCGCCTGCGTTTTGCTTGGTTCCCTTTTGTGAACACTGCTTCTCCTACCTGATGCTCCTCCCCTCTCTGCCTGCGTTATCCCAACCCCAGCTTCGCGCAGGACCTGGTTCAGTTCCCATCCCTCACACGCATCTTCTCCCAACACTCCCGCTCCAAACAATTCCTCCCTTGTGAAGGTCAAGGTCTTCCCCATGTTCAAATGTTCAAATGATGGCCGCGTGGCTCTCCGCGTGGCTGCCACTGCAAACGCAAACCTGCCTTCCAAGCAGATAATAAACTTCTTTCTAGTTTCCAAAGACTTAACGATGCCAGCAAGTAGCCAGCGTAGCTCAGTCTCATTTTAAGGGCAGAGGTATGAACACAGCACTCACCCTGTGTCTTCTAAGGAGAGCCTGGCCGCGGTCCATGCGCCTGTGCAGATGGTGGGGATGCCTGCAGAAAGACACCAGATTCCCCCCAACCCCGTGCTAGTTAGCAGCTGTGCGCCCTCCTTCACCAGAGTCGGCAAGACAAGGGCTTTCTGACGGAAAGATCAAGCGGAAACGCTTCAGAAGCACACAGAAGTTTATGCTCATGCCTTACAAAGCAGTGACGATACACATGTGTTTGAAAGCTGGAGCTTCTCTGGGTGGAATGCGTCATGGTGCATCGTGAGTGTGGTTACTGTGGGCTGGAGTGTGGCAATGATCGCAAGAGGTGACCCTCGTTGTGAACGTGGGTGTCTCGTGGCCTCACAGCCCTTCCAGTCCTGACTAGGGGAGGCTCCTGCTACCTGGCATGTCATTGGGACCTCCTGGTAGAGGGCTTTCTCCTCCAAGGCCCTTCTTTCTGACTTTCCCACCACTGGGGGAGCCCCAGGAGTGGGAGCTTAGAATAGCTTTAAACCAGGTTCCTGATTCCCAGAAATATGCAGGTGTTGTCTCCAGGAACCTAGTCACCCGAGAAAAGCCCCTCCTGATAGGACCTGAAGTGCATCGTACAGGGGCAGGAAAGGGTTTTCTGAACTGAGAGGTCTGCGTTTATAGATGAGAGGGGCAGGAGCAGAGGCCTGGAGTGTTGCAGGGTGGGAGACAGGGTGTCGGGCACGCACGGGGAGGACAGTCCTTACCCCATCCGATTAGGAGATAGGCCACGAAGCGTCGGCCGGGCGAAAATATGGCCACCAGGAGGGTGTGCAGGTACAGCCCCTCCACCAACAGCCAGTAGAAGTTCGCCATGATGCAGTACTGGAAAAGCACCAGGCTCAGCTTGCAGCCGACCTGGAAAGTCACGGACAGAGCAAGAGAACATGTTCAGGCCATGATAAGACAGCTCACGGTGGGCAGAGGTGCTCCAAGGCACAAGCAGGCACACGTTTGTGTGACGAGCTGAGGACACCAGCACAGCAGTGTTAGAGTGAGGCCCCTGGCGTCCACAACCCTGGGACCCAGAACTTGCTGGAAGAGAAACACGGGCAGGAGGCAGATGTCCACAGACGCCTCTGAAGGCAGCGAGCTGTGGGACTGTGGTGGTGAGCACACCCGCCTGTGCCCCCTGCCCCCCCACCCTCTGCTCACCTACCTGCCCCGCTCGGCCTCACCACCCACTTGAGAGGAGACAGAAAAGTAAAGGGCAAAACAAGGGAATCCAGCAAGCCCTCATGTCCCCAGGCATTTTGAAAGAGTTTTCACTGGGAACAACCACACAGCATATAAAATAAATGTATTTAACCTCTCAGACCTTCGCATGAACGTACGGGTGTTTTAGCCTCTTGAGCAAATATGAAATTGAGGCTTTTAGTCAGTAAGTTTGTTCAAGTGTACTAAAATGATCAGGACTTCATTTCTATTCTTCTGTATCTCTGCTGCCTCCCCTCCCGAATACATATGTATCCAGGTGCGACGGAGATGCACGCATACTTACACGTGCTTATATGTATGTGTGGGTATATTTGATATATGCGTGAGTATACCTCTATAGATGTGGATATGCTCACATACATGTGGATATACCGAGACACGCGGATGTTCTGTATATGTGTACGCAGGTGGACACACACATGTGAGGTAGATACACGTGTGCGTATGTGGATATGCTGACATGCTGACCTGTGTATTTGGGGGTTGATGTGCTTACAGGAAACTCACGGTAGCCCTTCCAAGCTGGTGCCCGGGGCTGATGGGAGCGTTAACCAGGTGGCCCACTGAAGATGCCCCTGCACTCTCTCCGGTATTCCCACCCTGACCCTGTTCCGGTCTCTCTTTCCTAAGTAGGGCAAGGCTCAGCTTATCTTTGTAAGGTGCTGCACGGAGAGTAGTTGCGGCTAGTTGAGGCTGAGGGCCAGATGCCCGCAGGGCCGGGAGCAGGGATGACACGTGGAAACCACCCGCAGAATGTCATGACCCGGGTGCTGTGAGCGGAGAGGCGCATGTGGGGACGCAAGTACGGGAGCAGGGAAACTAACCGAAGTGAGCTTGTGACTTCGTGCCACAGAAGTGCGTGTTCCGCGCCCACCAGACGGCAAAGCTCTGAAAAGCTGCACGTCATTGACCTCTGGGAAAGCCAAGCGGCAATGTTTGTTACAGTTTTTAAATACACGTGCCCTCTGGTCCGCGGTCCCTCGTGACTTCCTTCTGAGGGAAGAACACGGTGCATGAAGACACGTGTGCACTGACGTTTGTGGTGCTTGTAACTGGTGGGACGATGAAATAAGGTCACGTCCACACGCTACACTATTGTGCCACCATTCGATGTGACACACCAGGGGACTTGGAGGGTTGCCATGGTGTCCTGCCGCTTGAGGAAGAGAGACGCAGGAAAAGCCTGTTTAACTTGACTCCATTGTCTTGGTAAAACAGCGAAAACGCCGTCTCTGCCTTTCTTCTCATTTGTTTCTTGACCATCAGCACAGTGTACGGACAGGAGGTCTGCAGTGACAAGCTCTCTGCTGACCTCCCCTTCCTGGGTGGTGGTTTCAAACTGCATCCCTCAGGGCAGAGAGCGTGGCAGGAGCGCCTCCGGGACCCGCTGCAGCCTGGACAGCACACACACACACACACACACACACACACAGGTGCATGGGCCAAGGCCCGTCCCTGGTCCCGGAGCCTCCCACAAGTGTGCATGGCTGGAGTCAAGGGGAGCAAGCCGGGGGCTCCTGCTGAGGGTCAGCGTCCAGGCACCCACCTGGTTGTTCATTGTCTCTAGACTAGACTATGCCTTTCCAGAGGCCAGACAATTGCCAGGCAAAGCCGTGCAGAGAAGGAGGCCGTGTGTGCGGAGCTGGGCGGTGGTAGGGAACTGGAGGTGGGGCACTGCCCCCTGTTTGGCTTTATGATAGAACACAAGACACTTGGCCTCGAGGCCCAACTCCCTGGAGAGAACAGGAAAGGCTGAACCCACCTCCAGGTTGTCAAAGGTAAGAATGAGTAACACACCTCACAGTGCAGAAATGTAAGGTGTGTCCCTAGTCCCTGGGAGACTTATGGCATCTGTAGTTGGTTAAAAACAACAAAAAAAGAGGCTATTTAAATGAGTGAAAACACCATGAAGCAGAGGGCTACGGGTTGAACGTGGCCCTTGGCGCATATGTGGGCCTGGCACGGCAAGCGACAGAGCTGTGTGCCTGTGGTGATGCCCCCTTGTGCAGCTTCACACGTGTCCTGTGTCACAGCAGTGCCACACTAGAGGATGTGGGGCTCCCACCGCACCACGCAAAGCCCAGACCAGCAGTCCTTTCAAGCATAGATCCGAACACGGACGGAATAAAGTCTGAAGGTACATGTGTGTTCCTGTGTGTGTGAGTCCCCCTGTGGGTGCACCCATGCTTGTGACTGTGTGTGTGCACGTGTGTCTTCACACCAGTACCTGTGTTCACGCAGGTGTGTACCTCTGTGAGCATGCATGTATACGTTTGTATGCATGCGCGTGTGCACACTCTCACTCACTCCCTTCCTCCTGAACCTGGCCATTCTGACCTGGGCCGTGGACTGGCACAGCCACTCGGGGGGCCCAGGAGCCTCCATGATGTGCAGACGCTCAGCCTCCAGCCTGAGTCTGTGCCTCCCATCCTAGCCTCAGCGCCCCCTGGGGCAGCAGGCAGTGGCCAGGTCAGAACTTAGCTCTGGGCTGGGTGCATCCCTGTTTAGATGTTATGGCTTCATTGCAGAGCTCATAGTTGCCATGTACGTCCCGACCCAAGCCCTCCCTGGGGCAGGCTGCACTCAGGCTCTCAGGGAGCACCTTGGAAAGCCCGAGGGTAGGTTTTTGAGAATCCTTGTCAACTACACATGCCATCTGTTCTGGTCTCAGTGCGAATAGACTGCCTGTTCCAGCCCCCTCGGCAGCCAGGAGGAGACACACTGAGCCCAGGGGTCACTGTTACGTCCAGGGTGTGTAGAGAGAGGGGCCGGTGGAGGGAGAAGCCTTCTCTTGGAAGGAAACAGACTCTGTCGGGTTCCCGGTCCTGCCGATGTCTTGAGAAACAGACTCCTGGACCTATGTGGAGTGCCCTGTGTTCGTCCTGGGAGCACAATGTTGATTTGCTCAAACCCAGCTGAGAACAAAAATGTCCACACAAATGCAACTGTAAGAAAAGATGTTTTTTCTGTGCCTCATGCTGCGGGCTGACTGCATCTCTGACTCACTTATGCAAAACCTCCAATTCTCTGGGCACAATAAGAAGGAAGACGCGGTCCTCCTTCTCTCCTGCCTTCTTTCCTGTTGGCGCACAGCTCAGTGGCACCGTGCTGGAGGGGTGCAGCTGGGGACTGGGCAGGGGGACCCCATCCCCGCTCCCTCCTTCTCACACTTCAGGCCTCAGACCTGGATCCTTGGGGGATCTTTAATGCCAGAGCGTGCTGTGCACCTGTGGCTTGAGCCCTGCCTGCAGCCCCATCGAGTCCACCCAGCTGCTGGGCTTCCCTCAGCCTGTGTCCTCATTCACAAATTGCTCTCTGGAAGGTCACTGGGCACTCACCCTCAGTGTCCGTGCAAAGAGCCCTGTCCTCTAAGACTCTCGAGAAATGGCTGGGCGAGGCCCCCAGTGTTGGGAATGGCGGAGGGGGTCTGTGATTCCCAGTGTAGGGGCAGGCGGGGTGCGGCGGGTGATGGCAGGGCACTCGCTCCCTCCGGTCCCCGTCACTCCCCTGGCCCTCAGGAGCCCGCCAGGTCTTGTCTATGTGTCTGGGAGCACGGCCCCGGGCTGGACGCCCCACCAGGGCCCAGTCCTTTAATAAGAAGCAGAGGAAGGAGGGCTTCTTCCAGCAGAGCTTTGAGGCCCCCCAGAGAAGAGAGTGGAGGTTTCTCAGCAAGAGGAGAGCCCGGACAGGCTTTGGGGCTCACCCCTTGTCACCTACGTGGGAGATTCCATGGTGGGGCGTGAGCCCCAGGGGCCCTGATGTCCCCTCAGGGGTGGGAGTTTGCTAGGTGAAGGATCTTGTGTTAATTTTATTATTACAGCAAACTCCTTTTATTAACTCAGTCCAAGTGTGTTATGAGCTGATTATCCCCAGAAATACATTCACCTGCAGCCTCGGAAACAGCTGATGTTCTGTGATGTTGCAAAAGGCTTCACTGTCTTACAACTAATTCCAATCTGTTCAGTCCAGAGCCACAGTGCCACGCAGATGAGTCCATCTGCTTGGAACTCGCGAGGAGAGCCAGCATGCTGGCTCCTTAGGAAGACAGGGGCCAGCCTCAGAGTCTGCGGTCAAATCCAGACTGAGGCACCAGAGCCCAAGGCCCTGAGGACACTGCATTGTGCTCCCGCAGACGAAACTTAGTGGAGGGACTTGCGTATCGGAGGGCACAGTAAATGCACCAAGCACCAAAGGCCCGCCAACACCCACCACGAACACAGCCAGGGGCGAAGAGCGGCACCAGTGGTGTGCATCTCTAGAAATCATTGGCACGGCCTCCCTTGTATCAAAGAGCTGGGCCCAGGCATACTCACAGACGCGCACTGGGCTCCCAGCAAGTGCTGCAGGAAGGAGTTCATTCACCACACGGGTGACTTCCTCCCAGCAACCCATGGAAGCATCTATGCTCATAATCTGGGAGATTTGGGGTGAAAATAATGGCGTTGTGCATCTGCATCAGGTTTTCTAGCCCAGAGCGGCTGCTGATCGCCAGAGGCAGTGCCCTTGTGTTGTTCTGCCTCTGCCTGGGCTTCAGTGCTCAAGGCCCGTGACCTCCAGCCTCTGGACGTGCCTGGGACATTGCAGGTGCCTTTGTCATTGCAGGTGAGACAAAGGTGAGTGTGCCTTTGTCTCCACTGCCCACCTGGACCTGCTCTGAGCCCCAGCCTCTTGGCCAGGCCCCTGCGCTTCTCGGGCCTGGCCCCTTGCCTTCACCAGTGCCTCAGAGACCCCTGTGTGCTGGCTATGGGACTTCATCACAGTGTGAGCTGGGGACAGAGACAAAGGGGTGGGGCAGTAAGGAGGCAAAGGGCTCTGGGGCCGTTCACAAAGGCCACCCTCCCCTCAGTGACAGGATCCTGCTCACAGGGATAGCCTTACCCAGGAGGATGGCTGGTCAGGGCAGTGCAGCGTGCCTGAGCTGGAGTACAGAATATCGTCCTTGACCAACACTGAGATGGCTCTTAGGATGAAGGAGAGGAACAGGTTCAGGTGGATGTAGTTCCGGGTACAATGCAGCTTCCTGTGGTGGGGGAGGCAGGGATGAGGGGTGGGGGAAGGGTTAGATAATCAAACTCGGATGTTGTGAACACATTAACAATTACCTATGTGGCTTTAATCTTAAGGTTTTCTTCTTTTTGTATGGAAGTTACTGTTCCTTACTGTATATTTGGGATGTTTTCAGTTTTGCGTTATGGTAACTATTTTCTACATCAAGATTTTCCTTTATTTCTGATGAGCTCCTCAGGCTGGGGTTGTGAAATAGGATTTCATGATAACACTGTAAAGCAAACGGTGCTGAGTCCGGAGCCTGCAATGGCGAGTGCCCACTTCCAGCCGCCAAGACCCCACCTCCTCACAGCCCATTTCCTGCGAGGCCCATAGCGTGATCTGCCTTGGAACTCAACTTTAATGATACCTTGCTTCTATAAAAAGTGCTTGGAACATTTTGTTTCTAATTCTCTTGTACCACTTAAATTCTGCTCTGGAGAACACTTATTTGGGCATTTGATTTGACGTGGACTTTTAATTCAGAGCCCTCAGGAAGCAAGCTTCACACAAGCGCACTCCCACAGTCACTACTAGATCTTTAGGGTTAAGTAAAGGTGCCATTTTTGAAGAACATTAGAAAACACACTGCAGAAGTCTTGCATGAGAGGCTGGAAAGAAGCAGCTTATCTGACCACCTCCCCCCAAGAGGTCAGTGTGATTTCAGAAAGCCACCTGAGGACTCAGGATTGTGGCCAGAGTGGCCAGGACCTAGAGGACCAAGACCCAGGCGAGAAGGGAGACACCGAGATGCACCCTACGTCCTCCCTCTGCCTCGGGTCTCCTCATGTGAGGCAGCTACCCACACAAGGTGTGCCGTGCTGGGTGAGAGGCTGAGGGATGAGGCCAAAGCAGTGGCTAAGGAAGTAAGGCTGGAAAGAAATGTTAGCAATCTCACGCACTGAGCAACGGCTACTGGGATTCAGGGTCTGCAGGAACAGAGGCGCTCCTGGGCTTTAATTAGAAACCCAGGAAGAGCTATGATCTAGGAACTATGACAAACCAGAAACAACAGACTTCCCAAAGCTTGAGACATGGTCTCAAATCAGCTCAACCCCCGAGTGGCTCAGGGTGATTTGCCCATCTTGCTAGAAAAATTAAATCCTCTCTGTAGCAAGATATCACCCAAAGCCTCTACAATTTAATTATTTGTAATTTCAAAAATGAATTACAAAGCGTGCCGGGAACAGGAGCTAATGATCAAATGCAACAAAAATCCCAGGGAATAGAAGGAGATTCAGATACTGGCATTTTAAGACATGCACTGTCTTGCTCAGATTTACATAGTCAAGAAAACTGATGAAGAGGTAGAGAATTGTATTAAAGAACGGAATTGATTACAACAATCAAATGGAACACTGAAAACTCAGAAAGAACCCTGAAATGAACAAATAGCTGAGTCTGATGTTAGATCAGACGTAGTACATGAGAATACTCTGAATTAGAAAACATATCAGTGGAGTAAGTACAGATTAAAGCAGAGACAAAATGAGGGAAAGCACAGAAAAAGTGTAGGAAATATAAGGGAAAATGGTGAAAACCCTGAACCCATGACAGTACGGTTTGGGAAGAAACAGGAGACAAAAAAGGAAGAAGCAATATTTAAAGAATACTAGGTAAGAATTTTGGGAAACTAGTGAACCCAGTAACAGATTAAAGGAATGTTATTAACCCCGAGAAGCAGAAATACCAAGGAAACCGCATTAAGTCCCATGACGGTGCAGCTGCTAAAAACCCGAGACCAAACAAAACCCTCGAGGCGTCTGGGGAAAACGACGCATCCCTTCAGTGCAGCAGCAGTGAGACTGGCAGCTGATTTTAAAAAGAAGAACGAGGCTCATGTTTAATGTGATGACAGAAAATAGCTGCCGATAAGGAATTCAACACTCTTGAAAATATTCTCAAATGAAGGCAAAATTAAGGTGATCTCAGGCAATCAAAAACCATGAGGAGTCATTGCTGGCAGGCCTGTGCTGACAGATACCGAAGGGGGTCGTCAGGCAGAAGGGGAAGGACCCCAGGTGGAGACACGAAATACAGGAAGGAACTCGGGGAAGATGAAGACGTCTCTAAATAGATACTGACTCTAAATGACGGCAACTGTAATGACCTATGGCCTTAAAATAGACGTCGGATTAAAATACAGCACATGGGGCGCCTGGGTGGCGCAGTCGGTTAAGCGTCCGACTTCAGCCAGGTCACGATCTCGCGGTCCGTGAGTTCGAGCCCCGCGTCGGGCTCTGGGCTGATGGCTCAGAGCCTGGAGCCTGTTTCCGATTCTGTGTCTCCCTCTCTCTCTGCCCCTCCCCCGTTCATGCTCTGTCTCTCTCTGTCCCAAAAATAAATAAACGTTGAAAAAAAAATTAAGAAAAAAATAAATAAAATACAGCACAAAACACAAAAGGCATGGGTGGGGGTAAGTGGAATTAAAATGTAAAGTCTCGAGTTGATGGGGAAGTGGTAAAAATAGCAATTGGAGATTAACTCCTAGGAGACAAGGATGCGTGTTGCAATTTTGGGGTGATGCCTAGAAGAAGAACAGAATGTATAACAACCTTAA